CCCCGGCTGCCCGTGCATGCAGGTGCGGGGCGGGCGCGCCCGCCGGACCCACGGAGCGGCAGGCATTTTCCCCGCCGGGCGCCCCGAACCCGCGGGCCGGGCCCCGAGCTCGGACCAGGAGGCCCGCCCGGCGGCCTTTCCGCGTGCACATGTTCCCCCCCTCGCCTGGCCCTTTGCCGCCCGGTCGCCAGCGCAGCCAGCAGGGCGGTCACACTACCGTGGGGAGGGGGCGAGGGCCAACACCGGCACACCTTCACGGCATACGGCAGCTCCGGCGGGCTCTCCATGCGAAGCGGCGAACGAGGCCGGGGCCGGAAGAGCGGGGGGAGGGGGGGAGGGGTTCGGTCGATGATCTGCCCTTGCCAGCTGGCCGATAGTGACGACGGAGGGAATCCCCGGGCACGGACTGGAGAAGGGCGTATCGCCCTGTTGGAGGGCGCGTTGAGGGGCCCACCCGCGCCGAGACCGCCGCCGCCGCCGCCGCCGCCGGGGAAGAGTGCGCGCCCCCCCCCCCTCCCCCCCCGGGGGGCGCGCGCACGAACACCCAAAGACCTGCTTATCCTTGCCAGCCCCGGTCCCCCGGGCCTCGCCCACCCATCCGAAGGACAACTGCCAGGCGGGTTCCCGTGAGGACCGTCCAGCGGCCGCCGCCGCCGCCGCCGCCGCCGCCACCACTACCCCCCTGGAAGCCGAGGATACCAGGCGAAAAGGCTGGGCGACTGCCGGGCTAGGGCGCCGATGAGCAGTCGCCATTGGCCATGGCCCCACCACCCTGCCTCAGGCCTGACCGGCGAGGAGAGGCTTTAGCTCGGAAACAGCGCCGCACCTGGCCTCATCGCAACCCTCCCCCCCCCTCCACCCAGGCCCGGGCGCCCGTGAGGCACACATGCCACAGACGCCCTCCGCCGGCCCGTGCGTGTCCGGCTTTGGGGCGTCAGCTACACCGGCCGGGCCGAGGGCGGGTCAATTAGCGCGTCTTCACGATCCGGTGCGGGGGTCCGGGCTCGGGCGGCCCCACGCGCCGCCGCCCCCCTTCCCCCGGCCGGCCACCTGGCCTCCCAAAGCTCGCTCCCGGTGCGGGGTGTCTCTCTACGGCCCGGCCGTGGCCGTTACAACACACACGACACAGGCACACACTGGCGGTGGAGGTGCCTCTGATCACCCCCGGCCCTTGCGGGAATGTGCCCACACACACACACACACACCGTGGAGACAGCAGCCGGAGCACAGCAGAGCAACACCAACATCAATGGTCTGGATATTAATGGCCCATTACCCCGACCGAAAGGCCCACACATCTTCGCGGGGTGGCTTTCTCTTGCCGGCCGTACAATTCAGCCTGGCCCCAGTGCCCCGGCCTCCACCCCGCCAGAGCCCGCCGGCGGGCGGAGGTTGCATCCCCCGTGTCCCGCGCCCACCCTGCGCCGAGGATTCCGGCCCGCGGCTGGTCTCTTGCACCCGGGGCTCCTAAATCCCTCGATCTGATAGGTCTCGATAGCCCGATCTTGACGCCAGCACATGCCAGCCCGGCAGATCGGAATAGCAGTGCCGAATCACACCCCGCAACTCAGCCAACACCCGCGGCATGATCATCCGGCCCTCGGGCGGGTGCACATCTCCGTTGGCACTCAGACTTTGGCAAGCCGATGAGGACGGCGGGGCTACTTTCGTGGGACCCGCGGCGGCGAGCAGGAGCGGCCGTCCGACTGCTGCCTGCCCCCCTCCTTGAGCAGGGGCCCTGCCCAAGGATATGCCCCATCGCCCAGCATCCTCCCCCCCCCTGCCGACCTCCACTCTCCTCTTCCCCCTTACCTTTGCCCCCTTCCCCTCCTTCCCCTCCACCTCCTCTTGCCACACTTGTCAGAGAATGTCCGCGAAGATCCGCACTCGGCGCACCCCTCCCGAGGGCTGGGACCAGATCGAGCCCACCCTGGTAGAGTTCCAGAACCGCCTGCGTGATGGTGCGCTCCCTCCTCCGCTTGCTCCCTCCGACTGCTCTCGCCCCTTTTTCTGCCGGCCCCCATGCGCGACTGCCCATACTCACACTGTCCCCCCCCCCCCCCC